TTTTGCGGAACTGGGGACTGAACTCAGGACCTTGCGCTTGCCAGGCAAGTGCTTATGCTACTGAGCCATCTCCCCAGCCCCTAAAATAAATTTTTTGTACTAGATTAAGGTCCACTTAAATGTATTAGCTATGCTACATCACAGTGAAATTTTTTCCTTTTTTTTCCTTCTAGTTTGTCTTGTCTTCCGGTGTTGTGAGACAGGGTCTCACTATATAGATCAGGCTGGCTTGAACTCACTATGTAGCCCTGGCTGTCTCAAACTTATGTGATCCTCCTGCCTCAGCCTACTCAATGGTGGGATTCTAGGCACGCACCACCACGTCCAGCAATTTGTCTTTTCTTTTGCACTTGATTTATATGTTGAGTCTCTCAAGAGTGACCGTGCAACATTTAAGCTTGTGTGTCGCATTTACTTCACTTAACATTGTGATCTGAAGGTGCATCCTTTCTCCTACAGATGACTCCGATTCATTCTTTGTGGCAGCGTAGTACACTCTTGTGTACAAATGCCCATCCATCTGTTAAAGGACGTATAGGTTGCTTCCAAGATTTAGCTATTATCAGCTGTGTGGCTGTAAGCACAAGTATACGCACTTTACTGTAGTATTGCAAGGCCAAGCCGGAACACTGAAATGACACCCCAGAATTAGGGGCAAAGTTGTGTCTCTGTTTTTGTTTTTGCTTTGTTTTAAAGAGAAAAAAAAACTAAACAGTGATACAGGATTTCTAAATAAGAGATAATAGGAAATACGTGTTTACTTTTTGAGGCAATACCCCTGTGTAATCCAGGCTGGCCTTAAACTCACTGTGTAGCCCAAGCTGGCCTCAAACTCACGGCAGTCCGCCTGCTGGGATGACCAGTGGCACCACTATGTTCAGCTTCCATTTTCTTAGGTCCTCCTCCATCTCCTTTTTCAGACTACAGTACTTTCCAATGTAAAAATCTTATACTTTCCTGTTCAGGTTAATTCCTGAATGTTTAATTTTTCTTAATGCTATTGTGGAAAGTATTGTTTGCCTAGCTTTTCTCTTGTTTGTTACTGTTGTACAAGAATGCAATATAGATGATTGCTTCTTCCAACTGTGGTACTGAATTTGGTTATTCTAGGGGTCTTATGGTGTTTTTGTTTTTTTGAGTCTTCTAAAGGAGAGGATTTTTTTTTGTTTTTGTTTTTTGTTTTTGTTTTTGTATTTTAGGGAAGGGTCTTCAGGGTCTCACTGCTAGATCGGACTCATAGTGATCCTCCTGTTTATAGCCTCCCAAGAGCTGAGATTACAGGCGCACACTACCACTCCCTGTCTCAGTTGCCATCTCAGCTCACCCCATGGGTAGGGCTGGCATGGCAGGCCCAGGGGTTGAACCCTAGGCCCCTGCACTTGCAGGTGCTTTAATCTGCTGAGATTTTTGGCTGGCCCATAATGGAGAGGATGATGTCACCTGCAACTAATGATAATTCACCTTTCTTTTCTGTATGTATTCCACTTTGTTTTCTGCATCATTACTTTCGCTAATGTTTCAAGAACTATATTGAGTCAGAGTGATGATAGCAGACATCCTTGTCTTGTTCCTGATTTAGAGGAAAATCTTTCAGCTTTTCCTCATTTACTGTGACGGCAATAGATTTGTCATCAATCATACCGATAAAATGGCTTTTATCAGATTGAAATAAAGACCTTCTATACCGATTTTCTTCAGGGAGTTTTATTATGAAAGAATGTTGAATTTTGTCAGAGGCTTTTTCTGCATCTATTGAGATGGTCATGTGATTTTTTGTCTTTGCCTCTGTTTATGTGTTATATTATATTTACTGATTTGCATGTATTGAATCCTCCCTGCATTCCTGAAATGAATCCTATTTGGTTATGATGTACAATCTTTTTGATGATTTGCTGTTTGTTTTGTCAGTATCTTTTGAGAGGTTTTGCATCTGTGTTCATACACAGGATTAGCCTTGGGTCAGGGCTATAACCCAGCGTACAAGCACCTTCCTGGCCAGCACAAGGTCCTGAATTCAAGTCCCTGTGCCACAAAAAAAAAAAAAAAAGGAACAGCAAAGATGAGCCTAGTTCTTGTGTTTTTGGCTGTGTCCTTTTGCAATCAGAGTAATGCTCACTTCCAGGACTGACTTTGGGAGTACTGCTTCTGTGCTGACTTCGTTACAAAGTCTGAGGAATGCGGGCATTAGATCTTCCTAAAGTTCTTGTGGAATTTGACAGGAAATCCATTAGGACTTGGGTTTTCCTTAGTTGGTATTTTTCAATGACTGAGAAAATACCTTATAGGAATTCAGTATTTATGAAATTGCAACGTCAACTAATTTAACGTAATGTTTATGATTCGTTTATTTGTAGTTAATGTTTTAAGATATTTTAGAAGTATAGAATTAGGATTTCCAAATGTTGGGTGTCTTTCAGGTCCCCCTTCATAGAACTTGACTTCTATACCTAGTTTACCAAAGCTATCTACAGTGTTCCCTGCACAGTCACGACAGTGTAGATGCTGTGTGCTCCCTGCCTGAAAGACGTGTAGGTGACGGGTTTCTATATATAAAGCTCTATATTAGCCCAGTGCTCTTCCTTAGAAGACTGATGCTCTTCAGCTGTATAAACTTATGTTAAATACCTCATAGGTGATTGAAGGATAGGAGAAAGATAAAGTTGGTCAGTATCCTTTGTAGTAAATTTTATCTGAACCATTTTTTTTTTTTTTTTAATATAAATTCTGGGCCTGCATTCACAGACCTCCCCTCTAGGCTGCAGTAGTTCCTGTTCATGCTGGTTTATTACCTGAGAGACTCAGAGGACAGAGACAGACCCAACCACAAGACATTCCAGTTGGGTGCAGTGACACACACTTGATTTAGTGGTCTCTCTGACTGCTTTGGCCCTGTGGCGCATGAGATGAGCATGCTGGGAAGGACAGAATAGAAACACTGAGGGCCTCTCCATAGCCTGGTGTTGCTCAGAGCAGAGTCCTGAGGAAAATGACAGAAAGGTTCCAATAACATAGTACCATACATTCCTCTCTCATTCCCCCCTCCCCCCCCATTTCTCCTTTCTTATCAGGTGAATACACAGGACTTCCGAGGACTGGTTCGGGAAGATGCCGTACTCTACCTGCTGGAAATCCCCAAAGGTGAAATGGTGACCATCCTAGTCCAGAGCCGCGCTGACGGTGAGTACCTGTTGTCTCTTAGATTACTCTGGGTGAGTGGGAAGAGTGACCGAGGAACCTTTGGGCCAGAATAGGCAAATCCCCTCATTAAATAATTAAAGTGGGGCCTGACGTCTACTCCTTAGATCTCAGGAGTAGGGATAAACTATGGGTGTTATTTATCCTTCTCCAAAAATGTTTTCTTTATCCCTACTAAAATTCTCTCACTGTGTCACTTTGGAATAAAATGATTGTACAACAGTGATACATCCTTAAGTTCACCTTGGAGTGAACTGAGTGTCTATATGACAGGCGCTAGGAGCCACGGTTGTTGTCACCTCCTACTTTGCTTCTTAACAGTCTGGCAGGTGGATGTGCCTTTCAGTGCCTGGCACTTATGTGTGAAGGGTGGGGCCAGAATAGTCTTCTGTCTTCCTTCCTTCCGAGGGCTGTTTGGCAACTAAACTACTTGGGGTTCACCAGAGACAGAGCACCTGTCGGAGACACTGGAACCAGTGGGAGATAAGGTCTGTTTGGAGTCATTGGTACACTTAATTGTGGAGGCTGATAATCCCAAGATCTGCAGGGATGGGTGGTTGTGTTAAGCCGATTTCTTGCTAGGACCATATATCTAATGCCCATGATTTAAAGGCAAAGTTTAGTCAACTCACAGTTTCACTGGGCGCAGTTCATGATCAGCTGCCTTCTGTAGCAGAGACTCTGTGGAGGGAGAGAATGGCAGGCCAGAGCTGCCTAGTTCAAGGCAGTCAGAAAGTGGAGCAGGGAGATCGTGCCAGAGGGAAAGGGGCAAGGGCCAGACATAGTGCCCCTGTCACGCCGCTGCGACCCACCCCGGCATACCCAGAAGTATGTGTTGTTCATCACTTGGGAGGTTCTCAAGCCAGGAAGTCAACAGCCTAACCATCATGGCGGGCAAGCTGGATGCATAGCAAAGCTAAGGGTTTAGTTTTAGTACAAGTGTAAAGGCCTGAGAATTAAAGGTATTGGTATGTTTCTAGTACAAAGGCAGAAGGAAAAGGCGGTGTCCTGAGTGGAAGGCCAGGAGGCAGGAAGAGTTGTATTCTCTTACTTGAGACCGAGTCCAAGTGAGTGCTTTTTGTACTGTACTGTTTGGTTCAGGGTCACCCACACTAGGGAGGAAAATCTACTTTGCTCAGTCTACCCATTTAAGTGTTTGCCTCACTCCAGCCACCTGTCTCACACACACCCAGCGTGATCGTGGGCCTTGATGTCCAGACAGCCTATGTCCAGTCAAGTTGACACATAAAGTTAGTTATTACAGCAGCTGATGAAGTTGCTCACTTATCTGTTGGTGCTGTGCTTTCTGAAAAGCCTACCACTGAGCTCACTGAATTGGAGGGACAGTGAAGGGGATGATCGGAGCTGGGAGGAGCTGGTAGCCCAGGAGAGTCCTTCCTGAAGCTGATGCAGCACACGGTGCTCTTGTCTTCCAGTGTACAGAGACATCCTGGCCTGTGGCAGAGGGGATTCATTTTTTATCAGAGCCCACTTTGAGTGTGAGAAGGAAACTCCACAGAGCCTGGCTTTTACCCGTGGAGAGGTCTTCCGCGTGGTGGACACGCTGTATGATGGCAAGCTGGGCCACTGGCTGGCTGTGAGGATCGGGAATGAGCTGGAGAAAGGCTTGATCCCCAACAAAAGCAGGTATCTGAGATCTCGGGTTCTCACATGCCTTTTGTCCTTCCTGCTGGGAAGAACCCCTAATCCACCTCAAAAGGAAATCGGTCCCACATGCCTTCATTGTTATGACCTCCTTGTTTATGGGGAGTTGCCTGGAGCTATGATCAGCCACCTGTCCGTTTGCTCTGAGTGCTTAGCAACACATGCTTGCTTGTGGCTGTGTTTGGCGATTTCAGGCCTTGCACAGGACACACAGCAGGTGCTGAGTGGCTGGTGTGCTCCAGCGTGCACTCGCTGACACTGCAGGGGCCTTGGAAAGACACCTGTATTTTAGCAGAGTTCCAGGTGTGTTTACTGTAACCGAAAGCAGATGAGCCAGAGTTGATGTGCTTGTCAGAGTTACTTCTGGTGGGCTTCATGAGGACCCTGTTTTGTTTTGTTTTGTTTTGTTTTGTTTTGTTTTGTTTTCTGCCTCCATTGGGAAGCAGAGATGCCCACCTCCTGACCTTGGAAATACCTTCATTGTCAAGCTGAGTCTTCCTCTAATCCAGCTGCTTAAGTAAAACTGACAAGCACAGGGGCTGTATTTCCTGGCCTTAGAGATTTGCTTCCAGTGGTTTCTTTTCTCAGAGCTGAGCAGATGGCCAGTGTCCAGAATGGCCAGCGGGACAATGCCGGGGACAGGGCAGACTTCTGGAGAATGCGTGGTCAGAGATCTGGGGCGAAGAAGAACCTGAGGAAGAGCCGAGAAGACCTGACAGCTGCTGTGTCCGTGAGCACCAAGTTCCCAGCGTATGAAAGGGTTCTGCTGAGAGAAGGTGAGGAGCCGCCATTTTCCAACTACAACAGTCAAGTCGCAGCTTACCTACATCACGCACACCCAAGGCGTGTGCAGAGTTGGAATCATGCTCTAAGAAGGTAGTGAGCTGTCCAGCTCCTCAGGGGAGGCAGATTTCCATAAACTAAGAAATATTTGAATACCACCAGGCAAAAGTTCTTAGATGTTGCCCACAGCAACAATGCCTTTAAAAACAGCAAGGAAGGTGATGAAGATGGGCTGTCCAGGAAAGAGCTGGGTTCCATTGAGGGTGGGAAGACGTGCAATTGCTTTGATTTGTTTCCTATGCAATACTTCTGCTTCTTATCTGAACATCTGGGTGTGTGTATGTAGTAACCTTCCTCTTCTCATTTCAGCTGGTTTCAAGAGACCTGTGGTGTTATTTGGCCCCATCGCAGATATAGCAATGGAGAAGTTGACAAATGAGTTGCCTGACTTGTTTCAAACAGCTAGTAAGTGTGTCAGGGATAGTTTCTCCTTACATTCTTATATCTTAAAATTTCGACATCCCCTTCACCTGAAGCCATTAGTTATTCATGTTTTGCTGCATACACTCTCCCCCACCCCCCGCCCATGCACAGGCTCATGTGTGTGCACATGCCCATCTTCAAAAGCTTCTGAGGAACCATTTGAAAGTTGAAGTTGTGGACATTTTATTCCTGTGTGTGTGTGTGTGTGTGTGTCCTAAGCATAACACTCTTCCATTATCGGCTCTGGGGTTGAGAAATTTAACATGTTATGGATTGAGCATGGCTAATTTGAAAATCTGAAACCAAAATGCTCCACAAAGGTTTTGAGCACTGACGTGTTGCGTCACACATGGAACATTCTATACCTGACTCTGATGGATCCCTATCAAAATACAAGCCCACTTAGAATATTTTATGATGTTCTCTTCAGTCTGGGTATATGAGATGTGTATAAAACAAGTACTTTCCAACTTGGTTCCATTTCTTCGAAATGTTTTATATATGCAAGTATTCTAAAATCTAAAACATTTCTGGTCCTGAGTAGTTCTGATGAGGGAAGTTTATCGGCGTTTATTGTACTGTCTGTTTCTTCCAATTTCCTTGATTATCCCATTTATTTCATAATTACTTTTGCTTGTTTTAAAAAAATAATTCAGGATGTAACCAAGAATCATTCATTACATTGGTTTCTTTTTGTGATTTTTTTTTTTTTTTTTCTTATGTACTTTTATTTACTTTCTTCTGAATTACTTCGGACACTGGTATTTTGAAGAGCCCAGGCCATGGTGTGATCCCTTTTGGGCTCCCTGTGTCTCTGTGGTTACCGCTCAGATAAGCAGCGCTGGGAGGAGAGTTTGTGGAGCACTTGGCTAGCATGCGTGCAACGCAGTGTTCCACCCTCAGCCTGGAGCCGTCAGCCACTCGTAGTTAAGTGACGCCTTTCTGATCGTGTCTTATGATGTCAGGCGTCCCATCATCATGCATTTGGTCATCATTGATTTCTTTTTTTAAAAATTTATTTGGCAGAACCGGGGATTGAACTCAGGCCCTTGCACTTGCCACGCAAACACTTATTTTACTGAGCTATCTCCTTGGCCCCAATTTCTAAAAGAATTACTTAATTTTGCTATTTCAGAAACAGAACCAAAAGATGCAGGATCTGAGAAATCTGCTGGAGTAGTTCGGTTAAATACCGTGAGGCAAATTATTGAGCAGGTGAGAAGAATC